AAATTATAAAACAACCCAAAAATATAAATTCTATCTGAAACTTTTCATTATTTTTTGAAGTATTCGTATCAGATAAAATTAATTTTAAACGGTCAAAAAAATCTTCTGTTTCATAATAAATGATTGAAATTAGAAGACTTAGGATGATACTGTAAAAAATGGATAAAATTACATTAACTAAAATATCTTGAATAAGCTTTACATATGAGGATAGAATGAATATGATAGCATAAGTTATTAAATAAAAAATATCTTCTTCGGTTATTTCAAAAGATATAAAATCACATCCTTTTTCTATATTATGATAAGCTTTTATACATGTTTTTAAACTCATAATTATTAGAACTAATAATACCAAATTCTTATCGATGCTTATTAATCTGTTAGAAATTGCATGTATTTTTATGAAGATTAATAATTCTACACAAAAAAGACAACGTTTTAATTTATAACCAATTGGTATCTTATTTAACTTTTTAAAAATTAAACCAAATATTGATAATAAAGAGTTATTTTTGTCGTTTTTTATTACATCTATTAATTTCCATTTCTCTGAGTTTATTAAAAGAAGTTTAACTTTTTGTTTATCAGAATCATTTGCCATAGAATTAAATAAAATTAAACAAATAGTTGTAAATAATAATTCGTAGATCAAAAACCCTCCTGTTATTGATATATCAATATCTCTAATATAATAATTGGAAGCAAATAATCCAATCACAATACAAAACACTATAATTACAAAGATTAAAAAGTAAACTATCTTAAACGATTCATTTTGGTCTTTGATAAAAATATTAAATATATTATTAACACTACATTTGATTGATATTAATTCAATATTAAATATGATAGTAAATTGGTTTAAAACATCTTTTATTATTTTGGTTAAAAGCCACATTTTAGGGGTAACAAAAATATTTTTTTAAATTCTAATAATTATTCAACATTCCATTAATTTATTTCTATTAAACTGTAATTTTCTGAATCTTGTTTATTTATTTATTATTCTTTATAGTTTTTATTTTGATTCTTTTGATAGAGTTAATTCTTAGTAACAGTATATTTTTCTAATAAAACATTCTTTATGAAAAAAATGTTGAATAAAGTTGTTTAAAAGTCTTATTAGAATATTATGTAAATTAAATAATCTTATAGTATCAAAATTATGTTCTTTTTTTCATTAAATTTATATTAAAATAACATTTATTCTTACTAAACTTAAATCAATAAAATTTAAATACATGTTTATAACTTTAACTGTATTGTATAATTATAACTATACATTTTTATTTAATTAAAAATCAGTAATCTTAAACTGGTTAAATTTTTATTATAATTGTTACTTAACTTAAATATTTTAAATTTAGAATGATTAAATTCAATATTTGACTCTTAATTGTCACATAAGGTTTAAAAGAAATCCTTTAATTAAACCATATTATTAATAAAATTATTGTCATGAATTTTTAAAAGATATTTTTATAAAGAAATAGTTATTAAACAACCAAAGAGTGTCTAACAAAAGATAAATGCTGTTTAGGGAAAAATTAAAAGAGAATTGGTGCAAAACATGATCTTAACAGACGAGGCTGTACAAGACCTCTACAATAATATGTTGTTTTTAAATTCACCTTATTAATTGGAGGTTCTTTTTTAATTTTATTCATATAAATTATTAAAAAATAACAAATTAAAAATAGTAAATTGAATTATTATCTAAATTTAAAAATGTAATCAATACATTTAACTTAAGTAAACAAATTTTTTAATGATTTGAAATAATAGTTTGTTCTTTGTATTTTCACAAAAAGTATTATAATTTAAATAAACATTAATTTATTGTAAATAAAAACAGAGAAGAGAATAATTTAATTAATGAAAAGGGTTAAAATTGAATCATATCATATTTATGCATTTAATAACAAAAAAATCATAAACTAATTGTATAAACTAATAAATTTTTTGATTAAATTAATAAGATTTGTTTTTTTATTTGTAGATTAAATAATTTATGTTTAATAAAATGATTTATATACAAAAAAATGTTTTTACGATTATAATACAACTTAAATATGCAATCATATAGTATTTTTTAAAACTAAAAATTAAAGGTAAACCAGATGGCTAAGTTTATGACATGTTGAGTAATACTCTCTAGAATAAAAACCAACCTCAACTCACATACAATGAAACCGTGTTAATTTATTAACATCCTTATGATTATTCACAGAATTCTCAAAATTTAAATTTAAAGAATGTTTTTAGAAAAAAAATATTGTGATTTAAATAAAGAAAGAACTTCTTATTGTTATTGTCATTTATGTAGAATTTTTTTATATTAGCATATTAGTATTGTTTTATATGATTTTATTTTTATGTAAATTAAGCAGACTTTCAAACCCTTAAAAAACTTTACTGATAAACCTTACAATTTTTTATGTTATTTTAACGTTGTTAATAGCTTTAGTTATAATAAAATATTATATTAATCAATTTTTTGTAGATAAAAAAACAATTGATTTAAAAATAACGATATAATAGAAAAAATAAAAATTTTTAATTTTTAAATATCCAATGATAATTTTAATTTATAGTTTGTTTAACTTATAGCTTTTAAAGAATTTGTTTAATTTTTCAAATGTTTCATTAATACTAAAAATATTTAAATACAAAATTTATTGCATTATTATTTTATTTTTTAGTATAAATTTATTAACTGTCAGATAGTAAGAATAAAAATGTTATTTTTTATATCTTATATATAAACCCCTTTTAAAATACATTTGTTTAGTAAAAGATGATATTTAAAAATTATAATAAATTCTTATTGTTTTTAAATCAATTATATTTCAACACAAACTTTTATTAAAAATATAATAATCTTCAATTATTATATTATTTATTTTATAAACCTATTTTGATATTTTATACTTTCAAAACTAAAATTTTCAATTATTTTCTTTAAAAACTATTTTGTTGTTACAAGGTAGAATCTGCTTATTTTTTTAAAAAAAACTTTATATAAACTAATTTTTATTACAGACTTCTAAAATAATATAGTCATATTAGTTTTAAATTTAAATTAATACTTCAATATCAAAAAACCGACTTTAAAATATTTAATTCAAAATTAATATAAAATTCACTATTTTCTTTTTCTTTTTTTAATTTTTATTATTTGCCATTAATTTAGGCTTTAAATTACTCTATTTTATTTTAACAAACTCTTAATATCGGTTATATTCATAACATTGAAAGTTCCTCTGACATACATTTTCCATATTACTGATTTGATGTTTTTTCATTGTAGCTAAAAAATTATATCTTTTTAATTAATATTAAAATGTTGAACAGAATGATATAAAACAAATTAATTTAGTTTTCTTTTTGCTTTAATTTTTAAATTATATCTAATTTTTAATAATTAATTTATTTAATTTTACTGTTAAATGTTTTATAATTATTTACATTTATTATTTAAAAAACATTAAATTTTATTCCTTTCAATAGATGCTTAATAAATTCAAATACTCATTTCCTTAAATCTTTCTTTTAAAAGTGTTTTATAAAATTATTCTACTCTTTTAACCCTTTTTTACTTAATAAATGTTGTTTAATAAAATAAAATCACTTGAACCATAGTTTTTATTTAGATCAAATTATTGTTTGTTTAATGATTATTTTTTTAATCAAATTAAATAAAAATAATAGTTTTAAAAATCCTTTATTAGTATACAAACCATTAATAAATTGGTTATCATATAAAATAATTAGGAAAATTTTTAAGACGTGAATACTAATTGTGACGATATTATTAAAAATAAAACATTTAATTTTAATTGAGTTTTTACCCCTGTGAATTCTATTTATAACCATACTAATTCTATTTATAAACTATTAACAACAAATTATTTAAATGATAATAATCAAATGTAATTAGCTGTAATAAGAAGATTTATATAAACGATGACATTGCTACCTGTAAATCACTACTTTACATTGCTAAACATATATTAACAAATATGATTCATCCAATATCCTTGATATTGTTAAGACTAATAATTTATATATAATTCTAAATGTCAATTTTTAATAATCAAATATTTAAATAATAATATTAACAACAAACATATCAATAATTACATAAATGATATATTTTTCTAAAATGTTTTGAAATCAAATCTAAAATTCATTAATATGTTTATTTAAATTTTATTAAGGTATGTTTGAAAATTTTATTAGAAGAATACAATTGAAGTTTTCTATTTAAATTATGTTTTAATAAATTAACTTATTTAAATTAAAACATAAATTACTGTTTGTTTTGTTTTTAATAAAAAGAAGTAAATTCAATAAATGTTTAAAAACATAGAAAATTATTTTTAAAAAAATTCTTATGATTTCTTTATAACTATAATTAAGACTTCAAATCAAAAAAAGATTTTCCCGTGTTATTATATTATTCACACAATTTAGTTTTTGAAACAATCAATCTTTCATAAAATTTGAATGGTTTAACATGATCTTGATTTATGACTCCAATTTACTGTTTTTAATTTAAAATTATTTATAAAATTATAACTACAAATAGACTAAATGTAAGTGTTAATTTTGTAATTAAAATACTTATAATTTTTTCAATTATTTTATAATTTACATTTAAGTCTAATTCTTTTAAAAAATAATTTTTATTTTTTAACCATGAATTTTTTGAAATTTTTCTTTGAAGTAAATATTTGCCTTGGTTGTGTCTTAGTAAGTAATAATTCACAGATAAATTTAGAAGAAGATGATGAAATTAAACAAATGATTAAAGAATATGTAAAATCAAAGAATTTCTTGAAAAAGAATGTACCTTTGATTATAAGATTGCTTGAATCTAATTTCAGTTATGTATCTATAGATGAAATTAATTCAATAGTAAACCAGTTAAATATTAATTTTAAAAAAGAACAAATTAATAGTAAAGAATATTTAGATAAAAAAGAGTGTATTAGAGATTTTAAAAAGTATATTCATGTTACATGTAATAAAATGTTAAAAAGATTTGGCAAATTGATAATGATGAAAGTTAAAAATAACGATCAAGTTGAATTAGATAGTTTTAAATGTTTATCTTTTCTTTCTAAAAAATGTATTTATGAATTTTTAGATTCGTTAAATGAAAATCAAAAGGATATTAAACTTTCTAATAGTGAATCTCTATTAGAAATTTATATAGATTCTTTGTCAGTGTATATTTTTTTAGATGAGGTAATTTGTTGCTATAATTTATGTAGATATCTTATTATTTCAATAATTGAAGTTAAAAAGAAGATGTTAAGCTCACGTATTTTTAATAATAAAAATGTAATACATTCGTATAAATTTAATGAAAAATTCTTACATAAAATTCATAATTTTTTTTATGAAAAAGTTTTATATGGTTTTTATCAAAGTATTGCTAGCATAATGAATATTGAAGGTGATGAAAAAATTAAAAATTTTTTAAAAGAATTTTCGAAAAACATTGTAGAAATGATTATTTTAATCGAAAAGTATAATTATTATAACAAGAGTTTGATTCGTTTTACAATTAACTCTTGTATTTTTAACGGTCTTAATAACAATAATAATGATTTAAAAAATGAAATTCAACAACTAAATATAAAGTTATCAAATCTTCTTTTTATAGAAAGTGTAAATTATAATATCAAGTTAAATTATGACATAAAAAAGTGTCATTTAGAAAATATAAATCATCACATCCCATTCTCTTATCTTAGAAATAATTATAGTGTTTTAGGAAATTATATAGACCAAGATACTATAGAAGATGATGTAATGAATATTTCTATAAGAATTATGTGGGATTATCATATAATTTTACTTGTTTTTGTCAACCCTACATTGACAAATTATTTAATATATTAATTTAAATAAATTTCTCTCTTAAATAATTATTAGAATTTTTTGTAAATTTAATGTTTAAATTATTGTATATTTTTTAATGTTAAATAAATCCTTAATATATTACAATAAAAAATTAAGTTATAAAATTTGACATTAAACAATAACAAATTTAATTATTTTTTTAAAATAAAACTGATTTAAATTTTTGAGATGTATTTTTGGATGTCAAAAATCTCTCTAGTAAATTCAATAATAAAAAATTATAAAAACTTCCCATCGGAGAATCGAACTCCGGTCTCCGGCGTGAAAAGCCGATATCCTAACCACTGGAATAATGGGAACTTATAAATAAAAAAATAAATAATTAGTAATAATTCT